ACCATACAGCTGAGTTATTGTTTCTTCCCTGGAACTGTACTTTTATAAAAAAAACTGACACAAACATTTTACATTTTTCACTTCCTTCTTGTTGGTTCTCCCAAAAAATATGTATTATGCATCTTCTCAGTGCATGCTTTAGATATATTATATCAAGCCTGAATGCAACTAAATTATTTGTATTACCTAGGACACTCGTTTTCAATCTCAGTGAGACTTCCTAGATAAATTAAGTGTTGTATTTAAACAGTGACAATTCATTAACAAGGCAGTTTCAAACAACTTTACTGACATTTCAACTTTAAAAGTAATTCGACACAAAACTTAAAGAAGAAATTAGCTTTTGTTGCCTATATTTATGAGATTTTGGCCTAAACATAATCAAACGTATTGTCGAATGAGTTATTGCCTGCTCCTGCATTTGCAATGCATCATGGATACATAATTATCACCAGATTTCTTTGATACTGAAGAAAACATAAAATAAATGTGATGTTACACGAGCAAGTTCGGCAGATATTTCAAAGTGGATTTATGGACGTTTATTTATGTTGAAATAAAATCAATTTCTAATCAATTTCTTTATTTAATAAATGCACAACACTGCTTGGGAAGTAGATACACAGTTCTTGCAGTACAGTTTTTATGACTGGTTGTGAGATTGTAAGTTATCTCTTTAGACTTTAATATGATTATAATGGAACACGTGTTTGTAATGTGTGATAGATAAGAGCCTCGATCCAAATCAAACAAGTGAGTCATTCAGTGTATTCTGACATGACGTTTGTGTGTGCCTTTTTTCTTAGTGTATTTGTGGAGTCGTATCATCCGCCAAAGTACACACAGATGAGTCCAAGGTACACACACACTAATACACACACTCGAGGGAGATGACCCTTGTCCTTTGTGGGTCTGTGTGTGTGTTTGTATCAGAGTTTCCTGAGACCCTTTCACATCTGCTTTTTAGGGGAGGAAGGTGTCAGTCTTTCCTCTTCCTCCTCATCCCCCCCCCCCCCGAAGTTTAAACCTGGAGGAATTAGAAACCTGAGGACATTCCTTCCCTTCTTTACCTTCTCCTAAACCATTCATTTAACTGCTAACTAGTGACCAATACAGCTGTGGGGCTTTTATTGTGAAGCTTCACTCTTCACTCTGCTGTGTTAATTACCCTCAGAAAGAAGGATGTCTGTCTTTTGGCAGGAATACGGAAACATTACCTGCCCCTTTTTAAAGAAAGTAAGTGGAGAAGGTGTAGCATGGTCCAAGGAAGAAGTCATTACATTTTGGAGCGGATACAACAGTTTAGTTTTCTTGTTTTTACAGTACATTTTGTTTGTAATTGTACTACTCTTAGATAATTGTTCTGCTCAAACTCATCTGCCCATCTCTGACCCAGTTCTCGCCCTTCGTCCCAATGTCTCTGATTTAAATTAAGATCAGGCCTAATAAAAAAGTTTCTGAAAGGATTGTCTCTCTTAGGATGACACAGGATTTCTTCACAAAAACACTGATTCCCCCGTATAACTCTAGAGATAATCAGCATTCCCTCCAGCGTCTACCGTCTTCGATTGCAGCTTAATTAAAAGATTACAATCTGCACATTCAGCGAGGTTATTCAGGAAAATATGAGAAAGGCCTCTTTGTTATCCCCTCCGCGTCTTCAGTTACAGATTATTGCCCTACTTCCAGTTTGAACTCCCAGTTTTTCTCATTCAGACTTCAGGTTGGGTTTCCCAGCTGGAGTGTGTCGAGTTACAGTGCACCTCAAATAACACCTCTATGTCGGGATGAAGAGACAAAGAGCGTTCTGTTGTGTGTGATGGGCTACACTGGCCTGCATCACGTTTTAACCACACACTCCCACCGCTGAGATGACAGGGAGCGTACACAAATCCTCACTAGAAGCGCCTTTCCTTCGACCTCTCCCATTTCCTCTTTTTAAACAACATCAGGCTTTATCCCTTTCTGGGGGAAAGTCTAACATTCTGGGCTGCAACTGAAGCCCCAGTGAAGCCGGTGTTTGTTATTTTGGCGAATTATCCCCATTTAAAGTATGCCCAATTAGCTATTAGAAGCTCTTTTCTTCAATGCACCCATTGATCTACAGACACCTTTTACTGGATTATTTCAAATGAACACTTTGTGTTTTGTATAAACATGTCTTTTTCTAGGATTCCCAAGCAGATTTATGGATGTTTTTTTGTGATGGATTTAGAAAAAAAGCACATTTTGTTTAGACCAACTGCGACAGAAGGGCGTTTGAGGGTTGAGGGTTTTTAAACAGTTTAATTTCCCTCCGTGGGTTTCTGTTGCAACTTCTGAGGGCGATGTCAAAGGTCATTTAAACCCACAAAACATGGCTTTGTTTATTTTTAAAGATGGGTTCTGTATGTAATTACTCCACCCTAAAAACGACTCCATTTTTTTGTTCACGCCCATGATGTTTTTTTTTACTATTTTTGACTGATAAAAAATCAATCTGATTTTCCTTGCTCCTTCTTAGGACTGATTTGAAAATCTAAGAAAAAGATGTACAACCATAAAACCCTAAAATATGTCGTCAGTTGAAGCAGCCTCATACAGTATCTTGGCGATGGAAATGAACCCATTCAGTGGATTAATGTGTAAATATTTGACTTCCCCTTCTTGCAGTAGGTTCACGGTATGCTGTCAGTGTTTACACACATACACACACACGCACACACGCACACACGCTGTGTGTGTGTGTGTGTGTGTGTGTGTGTGTGTGTGTGTGTGTGTGTGTGTGTGTGTGTGTGTGTGTGTGTGTGTGTGTGTGTGTGTGTGTGTGTGTGTGTGTGTGTGTGTGTGTGTGTGTGTGTGATTGAGGCCACATGCTTTGGCGATCGGTCATCCACCCTGGTTCTGTTTCCTCCGTCTTCATTTCACTCTCACTTTATACGCTCTGATGTTTTTTGTCGTCCATCTTCTCTCTGGTGTTTCGTGCCTCTGTCTGAAATGTAGATGTGACTGTAGATTTCCAGCCCTTTTCCCTTCCTAACCTCTTTTGCTTTCCTTTCCTTCTCTCCTTTTAATTTTTTTCTTTCCCTCGTTTCCTTTTCCTCATTCCTGACCTTACTTCCTTCTATTCCTTTACTCTCATGTCCTAACCTCTCCTACCTTACCTGCTCTATTCCTTCTTTTTTGCCTTTTCTTCTCCTTCAGTATCTTTTCCTTCCCTTCTTTCCTTTCCCTCCTCCTTTACGCTTTTTTCTTCCATTTCCTTTCTTCTTTCCATGAGTCCGACTTTTCCTTTCCTCCCCTCTATTCTGTCCTTTCTTTGCTTTCTCTCCTTTCACTCATTTTCTTTTGCCCCTTTCCTTCCCTTTTCCTTCCTTCTTGCACTCTCTGTACACTTTTCCTTTGGCCTTTACAACTTAAAAAAAGTAATTCTCTTTTCTTCCTCTAACTCGAAAACGTGCTTCCATTTGCTTAACTCTCCTCAGGCAACAGTTCATAACGTCACAGTTTCATGTGTTTTTTATTAAAATAGTTTATACTCTTTTCATTGGCTGAGCACAGACTGGCTAATATTTGATTGGACGTGTTCAGGGTATCCTAACCGGCAACAGAATTACATCAGAAGTATTTTTATGTTCTGAAGTGGGCTATGAGTTCGAGCGAGGACAGACTATTGCATTGAATAATGTGGATTAGTTGTATTAGATTTAGTCACTTAGCAACAAATACATGTGATGAGATTAGTTCACTCTCTGCAATTAAAAGCTAACTTTCCTTGGAATGAACTGTACTTTTCTTAATACCAGCACAAGGTGTACTATTCGTTTTTTTAGGGTAAAATCTGAGAAAAAGGCAACAAAAAAGCTAACCATTCTTTGATTCCTCCTAGGTTATGATTGTTTAGTTTTTCTCTGTTTCATATCATTGTTGAATTGTTGAAAATATTATAAGGTTTTGCAATATTGGTGAAACGGAACAAGGGACTTTTACAAACAACAATAACATTTTTTATTTATTATGAAAATACCTGAAATCACAGTTTATTGGCAGATTTGTTTTCATATAACATATCATTTATTTAGGATTTGCTGCCTGGTTAACAGAAATCAGAAGCCTCTGTAGTGTGGCAAAACAATTTAGCTTCAAAAAAGACAAACCTTTTTAGGTGCTTCATACATTTCCTTTGACATTTTAACACAGCTGATGTGTGTCAGTATGTTATCAACACCTCACCTGCAGGGCTCTTTGTTAACCTCCGTCACAACACCTGAAGAGGAGGAGGACACAACATCTGCACGCTCGACCTGATGAGAGATGACAGAAAGAGATAGACAGCAGGAATGTGGAGGAGGAGGGCGAAGGGGGGGGGGGGAGAAGATTAGGAGGAGGAGGGCGGGGTGCTCACTTCTTCATGTGTGTTAAACATGTGAGAGATACAGGGAAATCAGAATCTGTATACTTGATTTATCCTGGGGGATTTTGCGAATTAAAACATCAATTCAAAAAAAGACTTCAAAATGTAAACCAACATAAGAAGTGAAGGTAAAAGTAGGAAAGACAATGTTACAATGTCTATTTAATGGAATTTGCTCATGTTGGTAGTGTTGGATATCTTCATTATTATGTTTTAAATGTTTTCCTTTTATGCACAATGTTTCATATTTAATTCTCAGTCAAAACATGTCCCTGGGCTGTTTTAAAAAAAAAAACATTTAATTCTAATAATAGACTGAGTTATTCTATTCTTAGATGTTCTACAAAATGATGCTGCAGGGACAACTTCTCCATGTGATTTGTAAATGTGCCCACACTGAGAGAAAGAGAAACAGTGAAAGACTATTATAAAAGTCTTTAATTATCTGCTTCAGTGTTCCCTGGGGGGGATGGCAGGGACAACTTCAAGGAGAGGGGGCAATAAACAGTCTGTAATTACAGGCAGGCTGTCCTACCCTCTATCTTTATATAATGATCTGTCTCTGCTTTGAATTGTCATTAAATACATTTTCTCTTCCTCTCTTTAGCACTTCTCCGAGCTCCTGGACGATCTCTCCCAGGATGCTCTGCTGGGTCAGCTACTCAGCGACCCTTTTCTCTCAGGGGTGAGAGGCGGAGGCGTGGAGGCCATGGAGGGGGAGGACGGCAGCGACCTGTCCCCCTCCTCCCCCCTCCCCCCCCACATCACAGCGGAGCACAGCTACTCGCTCTGCGGAGACAGCAGGCCTCAGTCCCCGCTGTCGCACCTGACCGGAGAGCAAGGCAGCGACGCAGGTACATAAAGCCTTCAAAATAAAAGCACCCTTATAGTATACACCAATAACTTCATTAATAACTCAGGTAGTAATCCCTCATTCTCTTCCTTACTTCTTTCCTTTCCTTTATGTATTCCTTCCTTTCTTCATTTTCTCCCCCTTTCTCTCCCTCTTACCATTCAAGTCCATCTTAAAGGACAGAGAACAAGAAACCATTGGTCGATGTGATTGCGCTTATATCCCATCATTGAAGTCGTTTTAAACTTGTGCCAGTTTTCAATGTTTCATAATAGTTTATTTTATTTGCATATTGACTGGTTAAAGTGAGATTTTATTTGTGTTTTACGACCGCTGTATTCGTCTGCCTGTATTGTTTTGTGTTCATTTGTTTTTTACCTGGTTAAATAAAGGATATATATATATTTATATATACTTCCTTTGTGCTTTCATTTCCTTCATTCCTTCTGAGAATGACTTTCTTTCTTCCGTGCTTCCTAATCGTTCCTGCTAAAATGCTAATTAAAAGCGCAATTTCAGTTAAAAGCAGTCATGAGTTAAAAATGTATTATACCTGCAAATCTGATGTGTTCTTCTTGCAGTGATTTACAAACTACATAAAAAGTGAAAACAAGATTTCCTTTAACATTATAAAATAAATGATAAAAAGATGCATTTGAGCAGAATTGACCTCCCAGAAACCCTGACATGTCTCCTCTTGCTCCTCAGAGTCTGATGGAGAGTCAGCTGATTGGCCCATGGAGCAGGAGGACTCCATCGACAGCCTCCTGTGTGAGACCCCCTCCCTGCTCCCCACCCTCTCCCTCTCTCTGGTCCCAGGTGAGGGGCCCCGGGCTCCTGAAAGCCCCGCTGTGGCCCCTGCTGTCCCCCCCTCCCCCCCAGCTCAGCCCAGAGTCAACAGCAGCCAGGGCAAAGCCTTCAAGGTGAGGAGGACACAGGACGATAGGGATGAAAACTGATGTTTTTGATGATCATTGGAATGTTGTTTAACACTGTTGTCTATCTACAGGTTAAAGAGGAGAACATCATCCCGCAGATTAAACTGGAGCCTCATGAAGTCGACCAGTTTCTCAATCTTTCACCCAAAGGTCTGAATCTGTCCTTTTTTCCTCTCACTGTTTGTCAGTTATCTAACGCAACAAGGACCCCTGCTGGAGCTTTGTTGTTACATCATGATATCCTTTGCATAGTCAAGTATCATAAATATCACTTTAAAGGTCTTACAAGCATAATTTATGCATTTAAATGTATTAAAACTACAAAGAATATCTTATATTATGTAGAGCAATATACTTGCATTATCCCAAATGAAAACCATACGTTAGTTTATTGGTTATCTGCCGAAAGCAGTCAGAAATTTTATTTATATACAGTTTAAAGACACTTTTTAACAATTCTACCTTTTTCAATCTGGGTGATTAAAAGGATTATTTATTTTAGTCTTTGGATGTCTCAGTGTTAAGTAATCAGAAAACAACCAGTTGTAAAAGTTGAAAAGTTTGGTTGTCTTTTCAGAGGAACAGACATAGTGAATAATTTGGCTCCCATTTAACAACTCCTAAAACGCTGGAACTTAAGTTATCAAAGACACAGGCTGAGAATAAATTAGAAATATGAACTTCAGCGGTCCTTTAAGAACAGCTTAACTCATCAATACCTTTATATATTATCCTTAAATACTTCTAGTTTTAATCTTTCAAATGCTTCCTCCGGTCTCAGGTCTCGAGGTGCTGCAGATGCCTCCCACTCCTCCCAGTTCCCACGGCAGTGACTCTGAGGGGAGTCAGAGTCCCGTCCACGCCCCGCC